TTTTTGCTTTGAGCTGTTTTTTTTCTCTCATGTGCAGAAGTCAGTAAACAAACAGGATAACTCAATAGGTAGCCAAACAGCACCTTGGGAGCAAAAAAAACATTTATAAAAGGCTGGTCGAGTTGTTTGAAGGAATGTCTTAAAAAATGTATTTCTGACTCTTTGGCTGTTTCTAAAAAGCAATAGCATACACAATTACTTGTTCTGTTCAAACTATTAAAATGTATTCTGAAAAAAAATATTATTATTATCGTTATTTCTGTCGATATATTTAACTGGGTGGTGGGCAAAGAAACCAAGTGCTGCTAGGGGTGACAGCATGTGAAAAAGGATGTCACGCATGATCCACTTTTTAATTCATCTGCTTAAATTTTTACAAACAGCACAGCAGGACAGAAAACAGCTGCAGGGATGAGAGTCATGCAGTCGACACTTAACCCTGCAACTGATGAAAAGACTTGGTCCATCAGGCTCTCGCTCTTTATCTAACTCCTAAAGTTGAGCAGATCTGAGACGTGTCTCACTCATGTCATGAAATCTTGTTTTCTCTCAGCCAAACTGTGTTGTCATTGGTGTTTTATTAATCGTTTCAACTAAGGAAGTTGAAACAAGTTGTTTTTCTAGTTTCTGAATTTCCCCTCTGCGGGACAATACAGGCTGTTTCTTCATCTTTCTTACAGGCTAAAAAGCCCATTTAAAATTGGTTATTTGATCATTTGTTTGTGATGTATGACAATATGGATCCATCTCTTGAGTTTATGAGCCTTATTAGGCCTGATTGATCCGTATGGCACAGAATCGAATCACTTAACAAACAAAAAAATGTAAACTGGTCAGGTACTGGACTGAAGATGAGTACAAAAATTGTCCAAAGTTTAAACAAAAAATAAATAAATAAAAAACTTTGAACAACTGTTACAAAGCCAGGATTATTCCTGATCAAGAGAACTTAAAAAATGACAAAGTCTGACTCCATGACAAAAGCTTGACTCAGAGGAAACTGCTCTCCACCTTTCTTTCTCTCCTCTCTCATCTTTTTCTCCCGACACATCGACT